TTACTAAAAGAATGTAAAACGTAATAAGTAATAAGCCTTGTTGTTCTACATTATATTTATCTATTTTGAAAATTTATAACTTTCAGAATGATAATTTAAGCTCGTATATGACAACTAAGAATCACTGTAATCCAACAGCCCTGTCTTTGCGGAGTAACACTCTGAATAAAATCTCATTACAAAATTAAAAAAAAAAAGAAAATTAACATTAAGAAAACTGACAGTTGAAGCTATAGCTTAATTTAATGTAAATTATCTAGAGCATCTATATTATCATTTTAATTAACATTTTATATATATATATATATATATATATATATATATATATATATATATATATATATATATATATACATAATTTATCGATGGTTTATGCTATATAGTATATGTATTAAACCTATAATTATTATCCATCTGAGTTGCATTAAGACTCAATATTACGTCTTTTTCTTCTCCTGAATATTCTCCTCCAATTTTACGTAGATATACTTTAGCAACGCAGCTGTCAACATATCTCTTCATACATTCTCAACAATGCATACACGGCTCCCTCCATTGCGGCAAAAGGTAAATTTTTAATGTGGTCGTGGTTGGCCCAAGAGGAGAAGAAAGGAATCTTATTCCCTTGAGAGAGACCATTCTAGTGAACGCACGGTCAGATAAATAAAATACATACATACTTATTAACTATTTTAAAAATGTTTACGCTTTTAAGAAAGTAAAATAAAACATCCACTTCTCATTTAATAAGAACAATCCAGAAGGTGTTTAATAAGAACAATCCAATAAGTATTTGATAAAAAAAAGTGATTATATTTATTCATTTAGTTACAATTTATGGTTTAAGATTAGAGGCACCGTGTTCCTGTTACATAATTTAAATAAGTTTATAATGTTTTTTATTCTTTAAAAATTGGAGTAACTTCTGATTTTCCGGTTCCAAAGCTTGAGTAGTTCCGGTGTCGAAGAGAAATAGTTTTGACTAACAGTTTATGTAATAATAAATAAAGTAAAATACATAAATATACCATATTATTACATTTTGGTGAAAAACATGATTATACACTATGGGGGAGGGGAGTGAATGCACCAGTAGCTCAAGGAAATTTCTTTGAACTTTTACGTGTAAAAACTAAAATATTGAAGTTATTATATTTTTCATGGGTTCTTCTTATAAAACTATATCTCACCTTACCAAGACATATTTCTAATTCATGAAACATTCTTCTACACTTTAAAAAATGTAAAATTAAGATAATTGTTTTGTCGTACCAGTAGCTGACACTGTTTGATTTGATATGTTCCTTTAGCTGAAATTTCAAGTTATTCATTTTAAGATTAACAAAAATTACCTTAACATTAAATTAACTTCTTGGATCCCGACATAAATGTATCAATAAATGCTGGTCACTGTCAAAAACCTGTTTTTGGCTACAGGAAACCTTTTTTTTTCTTTAAATTCAATCCAAATAATTAGTAGTCCCTAGTACAGAACCCTGTTTATCGAATTATTAACTTTCGCCTGAAACTTCATAAATAGTTTTATCTCATCGTAACCTACATATATTTTATTTACGAAAACTCTTGGAATTGGGGCGTTTTCAATCTGAAGGGGGCCAAACTTTGTATATTTATTTATATGATATTTACAACTGTATACAAAAAATACATCTGGTAAATTCGCACATTGGTATAAAGACATGGAACACATGTTGAGAAACTACCCATTGGTAGCACTCTAGTATATTTAATTAGGTACTAAAAACTCGCAAATACCCATTTGCTTTCTACTTTGATCGTAAGATAATTTGATCACAAAATTTATAAAAAAGGTGGCCTACAAAAATATTGTACCGTTTGTCCTATAAAACCTCGTTTTTTTGAAAATTTGGGGATGCAGGTCACGTTAAACGGCTCAACATTTTTTAAGGCCATATTTTTTTTTTTGTGTTCAAATTATCATACTATCCAAATAGAAAACAAATAAGTATTTACAAGTTTTTAGTACCTAATTAAATAGGCAAAGTTTGCCTTCCTCCTGATTGAAAATGTCTCCATTCCAAGAGTTTTCGTAAATAAAATAGTTGTAGGTTACTATGAGATGAAACCATTTACGGAGTTTCAGGCGGATCTTAATAAAGGTGTCTGTACCACGGGCTATACTTTTTTTTAGACAAGAAAGTAGTGAATGGTCTTATTTTTTAGACCCGTTATATTGAGTATATATCTTTAATTTATGAGAGTACAGGCATGTCAACTACTGGCAAAAGTCCCTATTATAAGGCTTTTGTAGCTGACACCCGTTTAATATCCTATTCCTTCATCAAGATAAGTTAAAAATATATAAAACATAATTTCAAAACAGTCAAACAGTAATTTTGGTATAAATAACAGTAGTTAAAGAGAAAATGTGCAAACCTAATGTATAGTGGTGCTATTAATGACAAATGGTTGTTTCTGAGACACTAAATGGACCGCAAGGGACCTTCCTAATTCGCGACTCTATATTTCGGTTGTCATTTCCGTTAAGACTAGAGCAATGCAGACAAATATACGACAAGAAAATATAAAAAGTAAAATTCTCCGTGCAACACTGGTGGAGACAGCCCTGATGAAGGCCTGAACTTCAGGTCGAAACGTTGGCAAATGTCAAAATAAATATTATAATTTATTTTGCCTTCTTATTTGACTGATCATCCCATCTATTCTTCCCTTCATTATTCACGACAGTCAACCATTTTACCCACAAATAAAAACTAAAAATACATGAAATAGTGGTCTAGGAGGTCCTGAAATTTTATTATTCCTATTTTTCGAGGAGGATGTCAGGTATTGGTGCTTTTGATTCATTTTATTATGGCTATAGTTGACAATAGGACAATCGATCCTTCTGACTCAATATTGGTATTGACTTTCAAAATTTATTTTCATCGAAAACAACGATATAAGCTTTAATCGTTTAGATTTTGAATTGTACCTCCGCCTAACGCTCTTGGTCTCTAAAAGAAACAGAAACAAACAAAACGATAAAAGCATTAGCTAAATCTAAAGGAATTACAACCTTTAGATTTAGCTAATGCTTTTATCTGAAAATTATTTCAGGATGTTGGTCCTGAAGCGAAACTCATTATGAAGGTTTTAAATGGTGTATCTATGAATGGAACAATATAAAGTAATTATAATCTATAACGTAGTGGAAACTTCTTTAGGAGCGCTTTTCATTTTTTTTTTTTTTTTTTTTTTTTTTTTTGTGGATAGTGAATGATCCTGCACGGTTATTCGGGTAAAGTCGGCTCGAGTCAACTAATTAATGTGTTTTGGCATTTGGATTAAAATTTCTCAGTAACTAAAAATTGGACCTGCGTACTGTAAGCGAGAGCTATTTTCAGCATTTCATCCTCTTTGTAATGAGATATAATTCTAAATTTGAAGTGGCGCGAAGCCGGAAAGTGATAAATCACCAAAAAAAAAAAAAATAATAATAATAACGACTGTTTTGAACATTAGGTCTCAATTGCCTCAAAAATTTTAATATTTTAAATCTTATTATTTTATGAATATAGGACATAAAAAAATTTATATTTCATATTCCTAATCCCGCCTTATTGGTTCCTACGTTTTACGACTTGTATTGTGTGTTATTAAGCATTGAATCGTAGTTTTTCAATTCAAAGAGTTTAATCAATTTTATTTTATCACGATGTCTTAAACTATTTCTATATTTTATTTCTTTCATGCTTCATATTTGATTCTTTTTTCATTTGTTTTCAAAATTAAAAATAAAAGTCTTTGCAGTATGTTTTGATGATATATATCCTAGTTTGCTTTTGCACGATTTTTTTTCGAGCTTATGCTTTTTTATGATGATTTTTAAACTACTTCTATATTTTATGTATTTTCACATGGTTAATACTTAATTCTGCTTCTGATGGTTATCGAGAGTTAAAAAGTGCTTTTTATATCATTCTTTTATGATATCAATTCTTATCTGCTTTCACGATTTATGATAACGTTTCATTTTATTTTTAATAAGTAAGTAGAAAAATATTTACAAGATTAATTATAAGACAAACCGTCTTTAATTATTATACTCGGGTCATTAATTCGAAAACTATCTTCATTATGGCATCTTTATTTGAACTAATCAGAATGAGTGTTGGTGAATTCCCACTTATAATTTAGTTACCCCCATACCATACTGAAACGACTAGAAACCGCCCGACGTTTTCGACTACTGCAGCACTTACTAGACAAACGCTCTAAGCTTTCAATAAATTACAAACGACTCATATATATGACAATAATAAGACCTATTTGGACTTACGGAATTGAGCTTTGGGGCTCCACTAAACCATCGAATTCCTCTCGTATCCAATCCTTACAATCCAAAATCCTTCGTAAAATCCTCAACGCTCCTTACTTTGACACTAATAAAATCATTCATAAAGACCTTAATGTTCCATATGTTTCCGATTTGGCCCAACCTAGATACCTATCCTTCCATAACAAACTGCAGAACCATCCGAGGCGTCTGAAAAGAAGATGGCTTCGAGACCTTCTAATATAGAACTTTAATTTGAGTTCTACCAATGGGTAGTTTCTCTTCATGTTGTACATGTCATGTTACCAATGTGACATTTACTTTTTGTTTTTTCCATGTAATACAGTTGTAAATTTCAATAAAATAAAAAATAAATAATTTAGTTTGTACTTCACCGCTGATGACATAACTGCAATTTGTTATAGTTATTATTTTGTACACAGTTATCATCATATTGTAAAAATATTTTAGTTTTAGGTGCGATGCTTGGCGAATGTTTAGGGTTATATATAAAGAAGACTTATCTGATCATTTATTCGCATATTAACCTATGCGTAGTAATATAATCATTTTCTTTTTCAATAACTAAAAATACGCTCGTTTTTATGATATGTAACTTTATGATATGTATTAATTAAATTTATTGTATTACCATTATTATAAACTATTTTGATGACAGGACTTGCATAGGACCGGATGCAGCTTGTTCTGTGGCACCTCGGGGCAACATAACCAGGCTGTCCTCAAGCGAGTCCTTCTGGCCTACGCAAGGTGGAACAAGAACGTTGGATATTGTCAGGTAACCACTTACAAGCTTGTTTGAATACTTATTAATTTATAATCGAATTAAAATTATAATATTTCTTATTAAACAATATGAATATTATAAAAAAGAATATTTGAAATAAATGTGTAGAAATTGGAAATACCAAAAGATTTTATGTACGTTGCCGAAGCAAATGTTTTCATAGTCCAAGTTACTATATGTATAATTTTAAAAGAGAAATGACTTTTTAACTTATCGCCTTTAGGTAATAAAATCAGATAAGTGATTTTGTGTAATTCGGCATACAAACCTATACTGCTGCTTGATGTCCCAAATCCATTAATGAATATTATTTTTATTATTATTAATGCAGGCTTAATACAATATTATTCAATAATAAAAAAATAAATATTTTTATTATTATTAATAAATGTAATAAAATCAGATAAGTGATTTTGTGCAATTCGACATCCAAACCTATACTGCTGCTTGATGTCCCAAATCCATTAATGAATAAAATTTTTATTATTATTAATGCAGGCTTAATACAATATTATTCAATAATAAAAAAATAAATATTTTTATTATTATTAATAAATGTAATAAAATCAGATAAGTGATTTTATGTAATTCGGCATCCAAACCTATACTGCCGCTTGATGTCCCAAATACATTAATGAATATAATTCTTATTATTATTAATGCAGGCTTAATACAATATTATTCAATAATAAAAAAATAAATATTTTTATTATTATTAATAAATGTAATAATACCTCCTCCTCAGTGTTGCTTTATTTCAGATGTCAAGAAGCAACCGAACAATCAAAAGCTGCCTTTCTACCCAGCTATTTTCCTTTTTGCCTTCCTAGTCAATGGATCCAATGTAGGGTCTCTGTTATAAATTTTTTGAGAATCTCAGAGTTGTTCATATTTGCTGTGTTTAGACCGACCAAAAAACGTCTCTCAGGTCTACAAAATCCTTCTCGTTCGATGGATTTCCATCACGATCTATGTGATCTTGGACTGAGAGCCTGAGAACTATAACACTAATATGTTTCTGTCTTGTATACTCTATCGCTTAGGCGGAGAACTTTTTTTATCATTAAAAGTCGCACTGAGGATAAGCAGTGACAATAGATAGCGCTATAATATTTTATAATTTACTATTTGTATTTATTAGTAAATACACACATCCATATATTGAATTCACCCATATTATTTCATTTAATTCTATAAATTTTAAAATTTTCATACTCTAAATATTTTTTTTTAAAACTTATTTATTGAAAAATATTACAATATTTCTCAAGGACATTTATAATAGTGTTCGGAGATCACATTCACACTTTATGTACAATAAATAAAATAAATTACACAGAAAAATAATATATATACAATAAATAAGAATAAAATAACCTAAAAATAAATAAATAAAAAGAACACATACCTATATACAATATAAATGATTAAATATTGATTAATTCTAGTGCTAGAATCATGAAGCTAGCGCAAAAAATAAGCTTTATGTAGCTCATGGAGGCCACAGTAGTTTCTCTATCTATACTCTATCTCGTACTCCTTGTAAGTATAAGGCTCATTCTGCTGGAATCTTGAATTTGCATAATTTCACATTTATTTGTATAATATTGAAATTTTTATTTCAATCATAAATCTTTTTCATTCATTTTGCATAAATATACAGGGTGATACATGAGTAAATTAAAATATTTAAAATGTTGATAGTAGAGATCAAGATCTTCAAAAAAGTTGATGTAAATTATTGCGCAATTTTCAGCAGAAAAGTATGAAATTTAAGATATGTGCTTTTATAAGCGAATCACATTTTTAGTTTAATTGAAAGCGATAACATAAAAAATATTTGATTTAAGTAACTTGACATTGCTCCATAGTAAATTTGACAAAATTTACTTTAAACAAAAGTAGAGTTTGTCATTGTTGAAACTATTTAAAGAGGCTATTTAGTGGACAAACATAGCTGACCTCCATTAAAAAAAAATCATGAATTATTTGCGAATTTTTTTTGTAACATCCTTCAACTGTACTACATTCACACCATTTCTAGAAAAGCTTCCTCATTTAATAAACTTTAAGTTCATATAAATTAAGTTGAGGTTTATTTGAAAAAAACTTTGAGATTCACCTAGAGTTGTGTAAACACATGACTAATATTCTTTCTGATCACCTAAATTACATGTGTTTTCTGCAAAAATGACTACAATACTGTTGAAAAGCTTTTACTTCATGTTTTTCCGTGATATGGGATGTATTGTAATAAAAATAATTGCCTAAAACACATTTTAATTATTAAAATAAAAAATACTGATTTTTCAAATATATTTCACGTAAAGTGGTTATACAATTGTTTTTTCTCTTATATTTTTACTATCGATCAATGCTTATTTACTTAAATAAAATATTTTTAAGTTATTGCTTCCTGTTTAACAAAAAACGTAACTCCTTTAAAAAATAGAAATTTTAAAATTCCTACTTTTCTGCTGAAATTTGGACAGTCGTTTAAATGAACTTATTTTGTAGATTTTGATACTAATAACCTAACAAATATTTTCATATACTGAAGGGACACACTGTATATTAAACCTGACAGAAAATACTAAAAGAAATTTGAAATGTGAAGTTATCCCATAAATGAGAGCTTATTTACGATCCCAACAAAGTAGTTCCAAGTACCTGAATGAAACATCCAAGACTCGTTAAATTGACAAATCTTCCATTTTAAAAGGCTTTTTAAAGTATAAATATGAAGGAGGCTGTGGTCTAAATGAACTTTTATAGAGCATTGCTTGGAACTGGCTCACAGGGGAAAAACAACTCAACAACTTGTTTTCACTCGCATATAAACAAAAAGGTTTATTTTTGTCTTTTGAATGATAATTTCATACAAAAGTTTGTTCTCTATATTGTTTCAGCTGCTAACTTTATTTGATGTCGGCATTAAACAAACCCATGCTCAACCTCTGTTTATTTTAATTTTACCTCATAATGAGTATTGTGATAATCATTGCTGTTGTCCGAACAGAGGGATATTTTGGAAGGATCCTAGTTTTGGGAAGATTTAATAATCACCTGGAGCTTAAAATGAAGTTAATCTTTAATTAATTATTTTTTTATTAATTAATTATTTTTTTATTAGGTTATTAAAAATATAGATTCATTTCCTAAACATAATGTCTTAGTTTAATTCTCTAATTAAGTTAATTACGTTTTTATTAAATGCTAACGTGAAACTAGCTGTTTTTTTTAGAAGAATATTAGTTTAACCTTTCATGAATTAATTTCACAAGCCAAAACTACATGAAACTCACAACCCTAATTTTTATTAATTTCAATTATATGCGTTATTCCTACTAAAAAGAAATCCATTTTATTTACTTCATTTAGGAGGTTAAAATAATTCCTATCATAAAACTTTCTACGAAAAAATAATAGGCTTATAGTATTTTTTAAAAATCAGATTTATTACACAAATCTGTTTTTTTTTTTTCGTTAGGCGCTATCATATATCTTAACTTTTTTCAATATATTTGAGAAAAATGATGACCGGGAATAGCCGGCCGGGCTAAGGCACTTGCAATTCGTAATCAAAGTTAAGCACCGTCGAGCGTGGTTAATACTTTGACAAATGACCGCCCGATTTGGGTGACCGTTCACCAGGAAAAACCACGTTACCCCAGATTCCTTCCCCTCCCCGGGTACATAAGAAGAACCGTCAGTGTACTAGAGGCAACTCACACCGACCCACAGTGGGACGAAAGACGGATTTTCGTGGACATGGGCATAGAACTCGTAAATGATGTCGGATTAACTTGATATTTTGTAGACTTATGTTTTCTAGGACAAAGAACACAAATATGACATCAAAAGTAGAAAACTTCCACCAAAAAAAATCCTGGTTTCTTTGTTTAAAAACTGAGATTTTTTTAATTTGAAAATATATTAACTTCGAAAATGATAGACCTCACAAAACGCATAACTTTATATAACTAGTTATAACTAATGTCTATATTATTACACATAACCGCTATTTCAATTTTTTTTTTAATTCTAAAAACACAATAAAATACAAAATATAATTATAATATGTATAGGTATATGTAATAACTTAAAATATTTTATTATTATTATAAATAAATTTAAAAGCCATTAATAATGATATTTTCAACACCATCGATACTCCTCACATTGTTGAATAAAAAAAAAAAATGTAATTCTTTTATTCATTTCAAAGATTATATTAACAACAACTGATGCAGATCAAGTCATAAAGTTTGAACCAAAGACTCTCAGATTCAGTTTGCTGTTTAAAAAGAATAAGGATTAGAGATTGAAAACAATTGTTGTTTGTTTGTTTCGATGTCTAGGCGCAAAACATCCAGGTCATAAGCGCCCGATCAACTAAATAACATCATTTAATACTATTTGGATGATTGGTACATAAAAAAAAATAATAATAATAAAAAATAAATAAATAAAATGAAATAAAATGAATAAAGAAATGGATTGATAGAATAAAATAAATAAATAAGGATAATAATAGACATTTATAGGTAATAAGATGTACAAAAAATGTATAAATAAATAAACTTTAAAAAATAGCAGTAGAATCAATAAATGAATTCAGATTAATAAACAAATGAATTTAAAATGAAATGAAATCAAATGAAAAAAATAAATAAATAAAAAAAAAGATAATAATAATAAGAGAAAATAGAATAAAAATAAATAGATAAAAAAAAATTATAAATAATAGTAAATCTGCAAAGGATCATTAATTATAAGCCTGTCAAATGTTTTTTTTTTTTTAAGTCTTTCACTATCCAGGAACTTGATGACTTTGGTAACGATCTCTTCTTGATTTCCCAGGGATGCTGATACATTCTGGGGTATTCCAAAATTTTTTAATCTTGCGGTGTAAAAAGGGCATTCTTCCAAAATATGTTTTATAGTTAGTGATTGATTACACTTTTGACATCTGGGGATAGAATCTTTTG